TCCGCCTCTCGCGTACGCGGCTGCCGAGTGGAGCAGCGCGGCGGCCCCGGCTCGTGGGGCGGATGTGAAGGGAGCCCTTCGCCCACTCCTGGGTGCAGCAGCCCGCGCGCCCCCTGCATCTCGCAGCGGCTGGACGTTTCCGCGTGGAAGGCCTGCTGGTGGAAGCCGGGAACCTTCTGCGGTAACAGCTACAGGCTCGGCCCTTGAGAAGCTTGTTTCCCCCGGCTGCTGCCTAAAAACATGTGGCATGGGAAAGGTTTAGGTAAGAGGGGCAGGTTTTGCCCGCGCAGTGAGCTCTTCTTGCCTGCCTGCCAGAAGACAATCCTGACAGAAGGATTGTCAGCTCAGTACTTCAAGCTCATGACTTGACAACCAAAAGTCATTATTAGCTGGGCTTAAAAATAGGTGTTTAAATTTGTTTCCACCCCCCCCCCCCCCCCCACACACTCACCTTCTGATTTTTGAGCCTTTCCAGAGGCTGCACCTGCCCAGCTTGGGAAATCATCATCATGTAAAAAACATTAAGTTCCCTTTTCACTTCAGGTTTTAAATACACTTTAGACTTCACTACAATGTGTCATAGGCGATGCACAGGGAGGGCACGGGGGGCCCATGCCTGCCCTGAGATTGGCCCTTGCCAGCTGGGGAGTGGGGGCATCGAACGCTAGCTGGTCCCCGCCCCTGCCCAAGATTGGTGCTAGCCGGCACTGGGAGAAGTGCTGGTGGCACTTCCAGTTTTGCCACCGGCACTGTGATTGGCCACTGTGGTCCCCTCTGTCCGGATCAGCTGCTGTTGGACACCCCCACCCCTCCCCCCGTTGGCAATCAGCCACTGGTACCCCCCCACACTCTGGAGGTACTAATCACCTATGATAAGTGTGGCCAATATATTATATGATATATAATAAATATATAGTCCTAAGGACAGTGCCAAATTTAGGCTTAAGCAAATTAAGCTACAGTTTAGGGCCTCGCAATAAATTAGGGCCTTTAAATTAGAAAAAAAACCTGACTCAATATTAAGTTTTATAATAATCTGTTGGTAAATAAAGGAGATATGGGAAAATGATGCTCTAAATATGATTTCATAGATTTCATAGACATTAGGGCTGGAAGGGACCTCGGAAGATCATCGAGTCCAGCCCCCTGCCCAAAGGGCAGGAAGTCAGCTGGGGTCATAGGATCCCAGCAAGATAAGCATCCAGTTTCATCTTGAAGGTGTTCAATGAAGGCGCTTGAACCACCTCCGGTGGCAGGCTGTTCCAGACCTTGGGGGCTCGGACAGTAAAGAAATTCTTCCTTATGCCAGCCTGAAACGATCTTCAAGTAGTTTGTGACCATTCGACCTTGTCATCCCTTGGGGCGCTCTGGTGAACAAACGTTCCCCCAGATACTGCTGGTCACCCCTGATAAACTTGTAGGTGGCCATCAGATCACCCCTGAGCCTGCGCTTTTTCAGGCTAAAGAGCCCCAGGGCTCTCAGCCTGTCATCGTAGGGTCTGCTTCCCTGACCTCTGATCTTCCCTGACCTCTGATCATGTGCGTGGCTCTTCTCTGGACTCTCTCAAGCTTCTCCACGTCCTTTTTGAATTGTGGAGCCCAAAACTGGACACAGTACTCCAGCTGCGGCCTCACTAAGGCCGAGTACAGGGGGAGAATGACGTCCCGGGATTTGCTTGAGAAGCATCTATGGATGCAAGCCAGCATTTTGGTCGCTTTACTAGCCGCCGCATCGCACTGC